TTGGGAGAAAGACTGGATATTAATCAAATAAATAAAGTGTATGGTGAGCAGACCCTGCCTTCCAGCATATGTCAAGTGTGGATCATGGAGCCGTAAAAAGTTGGGCACAGTGCCCTTGCCACCATCTGTACATCTAAACCATTCACTAGCATCACATTCACTGTTCCTGCTCAAATAAAGTTAATTAGGGAAGCAAATACAAGGGACAAAACCTTCTTGGTGATGATTTCTCAATTATAGAACTCTCTACAAGCTCACCTATGTTATAAGCTTTTAGGAGGCTGTGAAATTTTATTTCTTCACTGCAGTGTTTTCTCATGCATGCAGACCACTTACATGATTCATGGTTATTTTTGCTGCCTTTTGTATACCTATCTGATATGCCTAATTTATTACCTCATATGCACCTTCTTATACATACCATTTTGTGAAATCCCAGCTCTAAAAGTAGCCTATATAACAGTCATGGGAAAACTTGTAGGATTTCAACTCCTACAATTCCTGGTGGGAGTTGAAGTCCAAAACCCTGGAGGGCTGAAGTCTGCCCATGTATGCTATATAACATAACAATAATAAATGTGATTTAACATGAATTTGATTATCAGCAAACTGCTAACATTATTTATTTATGTATTTATTTAATACATTTCTATTCCGCCCTTCTCACCTTGACGGGGACTCAGGGCGGAGCACAGCATATACACAGCAAACATTCAATTATCATCTATGAGTCCACACAAGCCCAGACAGAACTATTTTAAATGGCTTATAAAAGCCAACCCTATCCCTCCTGTATCTTTGGAGAATTCAGCTCCTCAGTTGTCCTATTAAAGAAAAAATAGAGAGAGAAAACAGGGGGGAGCCACTGGAGGTCCAAATGAAGTGGGAGTGGCCTAATTTAACTTGTGAGTCTGTGATCTTCCACCAACACCCAGAAGGAAAGAATGACTTTAACAAGGCCCTCTCCAACCTTGTGCCTTCCACATGTTTAGGACTACAATTCACTGTTCTTGTCAGGGATCCCAGCCCACTGGTATAGTCCTGCATAAAATACATTTAGAGGGAAGCTGGCTGAGGAAGACTGTTCCAGGGCCTGCAATGCTCAGTGACAACAGATTTACTCTCTATATTTTATATAAGGAATGAGGTCACTGTGTGGTCCTGTTCTTACATTAAGAAACTTAAGAGGGCTATACTGACACCTAGGTTTGCCTTTCAGATTAAAGAAGACTGACATAGTTATGGTCAATCCTACCACGTGACTTAAAGCTGGCGAAACCAAGTCTTGATGATATCAGTGCCCGATGTCTTTCCTCAAAGTATAGCACTATATATACAATGGGCCTTTGGTATCCCTAGAGCTCCAGTGCATATCAAAAGAAGTGGATGTTCAAGTCCCATTATGTACGATGTTGCAGCAAAGTGGTATCCCTCATATAAAATGGCAAAATCAATGTTTGCTTTTTTGGATTGGGGGAAGATATTTTCAAAGCCTGGGTATACAGATGAACTGTATGTATAATCCTTACACCAAAAGAAAGAAAGATTAGAAATGGGCCTGAGACAGGTCAGGCTGCCAACACATCCAACAAATTGTGTATTTCTCCTCCAGGGATGATGGGGGCATCTACACTGTCAAAACAGTGCAGTTTGACATCACTTTAACTGATATGACTCAATACTATGGAATCATGGGAGTTCCATAACATTGTGTTGTTGAAAGATTTCATGGCAGGAATCACTCTGTTGCAGTGAGTTTTCCCGGCTGTATGGACATGTTACGGAAGCATTCTCTCCTGATGTCCCACCCACATCTGTGGCAGGCATCCTCAGAGGTTGTGAAGTATATTGGAAACTAGACAAGGGAGTTTTATATAATTGTTGAAGGTCCAGGGTGGGAGAAAAAACTCTTGTCTGTTGGAGGCAAGTGTGAATGTTGCAATTAATCACCTTGATTAGCATTGCAAAGCCTTGCAGCTTCAAGACCTGGCTGTTTCCTGCCCAGGGGAATCCTTTGTTGGGAGGTTTTAATTGGCGCTTGATTGCTTGCTGTCTGGAGTTATCCTGTTTCCTAGAGGTGTTCTTTTTAATACTGGTAACCAGATTTTGTTCATTATCACAATTTCATAGAACCATAGAGTTGGAAGAGACCTTGTGGGCCATCCAGTCACCCTGCCAAGAAGCCTCATTCAAAGCACCCCCAACAGATGGCCATCCAGCCTCTGTTTAAAACCCTTCAAAGGAGCCTCCACCACACTCTAGGACAGAGAGTTCCACTGCTGAACAGCTCTCTCTCACACAGTTAGGAAGTTTTTCAAGTTCAGGTGGAATCTTCTTTCCTGTAGTTCGAAGCCATTGCTCCGCATCCTAGTCTCCAGGGCAGCAGAAAAGCTCCTTTCTGTTGAAATTGCCCACAGGCTTGTGGATTTCAATGGCTCCTCTGTGTAGCCAACAATTCCATTCAGACCCCTCAAAATCTGAGGATACCTGCCATAGATGTGGGAGAAATGTCAGGAAAGAATCCTTCTGGAACATGACCATACAACCCAGAAAACTCACAGCAACCCAATTCTGCACTCTCAACTTGTATGCTGCATCAAGGTTTGTGTATCCATAACACTGTTTGGGGAGGCACCTGGTAAAACTACAACTGGGTTGTTGTATGGCCATGATCCAGAAGCATTCTTTCCTGACGTTTCGCCCACATCTAAGCAGGCATCCCCAGGTTATGATGCTTGTTGGAAACTAGGCAAGTGGGGTTTATATATCTGTGAAATGTCCAGGGTGGGAGAAAGAACGCTTGTCTGCTTGAGGAAAGTAAGAATGTTGCAGTTAGCCATCTTGATTAGTATTTAATGGCCCTGTAGCTTCAAAGCTATGAGTTTTTCGGGCTTTATGGCCATGTTCCAGAAGCATTCTCTCCTGACGTTTTGCCCACATCTACGGCAGGCATCCTCAGAGGTTGTGAAGTCTGTTGGAAACTAGGCAAGTTGGGTTTATCTATAGAATAATGTCAAGGGTGGAAGAAAGAACACTTGTCTGTTGGAGGCAGGTATGAATGTTGTAATTGGCCACTTGCATTAGAATTGAAAGGCCTAGCAGTTCTCAGGGTCTGGTTTCTTACTGCCTGGGGAGAATCCTTTGCTGAGAACTACAACTCTCATGATTCCATAACACCAAGCCTTGGCAGTCAAAAGTGGTGTTAAACTGAGTTCATTCTCTAGTAGAGAGGCACTTAAAGCTGCCATCCACTAGATTAGCATTTAATGGCGTAGCATTCTCAAGGTCTGGCTTCTTACTGCCTGGAGGAATCCTTTGCTGAGAACTACAACTCTCATGATTCCATAACACTAGCCTTGGCAATCAAAAGAGGCACTTAAGGCTGCCATCCACTGGATTAGCATTTAATGGCCTAGCAGTTCTCAAGGTCTGGCTTCTTACTGTCTGGGGAGAATCCTTTGCTGAGAACTACAACTCTCATGATTCCATAACAAGTCAAAAGTGGTGTTAAACTGTGATAATTCTCTATAGAGAGGCACTTAAAGCTGCCATCCACTGGATCAGCATTTAATGGCCTAACAGTTCTCAAGGTCTGGCTTCTTACTGCCTGGGGAGAATCCTTTGCTGAGATCTACAACTCTCGTGTTTCCATAACACTAGCCTTGGCAGTCAAAAGAGGTATTAAACTGAGTTCATTCTATTGTCGAAGGCTTTCATGGCCGGAATCACTGGGTTGTTGTAGGTTTTTTCGGGCTGTATGGCCATGGTCTAGAGGCATTCTCTCCTGACTTTTCGCCTGCATCTATGGCAAGCATCCTCAGAGGTAATGAGGATGCTTGCCATAGATGCAGGCGAAACGTCAGGAGAGAATGCCTCTAGAACATGGCCATACAGCCCGAAAAAACCTACAACAACCCTAAGTTCATTTTCTAGTAGAGAGGCACTTAAAGCTGCCACCCACTGGATTAGCATTAAATGGCCTAGCAGTTCTCAAGCTCTGGCTTCTTACTGCCTGGGGGAATCCTTTGCTGAGAACTACAACACTCATGATTTCATAACACTAGCCTTGGCAGTCAAAAGAGGCACTTAAAGCTACCATGCACTGGATTAGTAGTAAGAAGCCAGTCAAAAGAGGCACTTAAAGCTGCCATCCACTGGATCAGCATTTAATGGCCTAGCAGTTCTCAAGGTCTGGCTTCTTACTGCCTGGGGGAATCCTTTGCTGAGAACTACAACACTCATGATTTCATAACACTAGCCTTGGCAGTCAAAAGAGGCACTTAAAGCTACCATGCACTGGATTAGTAGTAAGAAGCCAGTCAAAAGAGGCACTTAAAGCTGCCATCCACTGGATCAGCATGTAATGGCCTAGGAGTTCTCAAGGTCTGGCTTCTTACTGCCTGGGGAGAATCCTTTGCTGAGAACTACAACTCTCATGATTCCATAACACTGAGCCTTGGCAGTCAAAGCCTTGGCTCTGGCTTCTTACTGCCTGGGGGAATCCTTTGCTGAGAACTACAGCTCTCATGATTCCACAACACTAGCCTTGGCAGTCAAAAGAGGCACTTAAAGCTGCCATTCGCTGGATTTGCATTTAATGGCCTAGCAGTTCTCAAGGTCTGGCTTCTTACTGCTTGTAGATTTTTTCAGAATTACAACTCTTATGATTCCATAACAAGTGGTGCTAAATTGTGTTAATGCTCTAGTACAGAGGCACTTAAAGCTGCCTCCCAATCCACACCTTTTGTGCCTTTTCCCCAGATCCACACACGCAAAGATAAACTTTAAGTTTAATGTGGGTCTTAATAGGATTCTTATACAGCCCAGGCCTGACCCAACTTCGGCCTTCCCTCCAGGGGTTTTGGACTCCAACTCCCACAATTCCTAACAGCCTTCGGCTGTTAGGAATTGTGGGAGTTAGAGTCCCAAACCCCTGGAGGGAAGGCCGAAGTTGGCCCAGGCCTGCTTGAGGCGCTGCTCCTCCTCTCCTTCTGCCTCACCTTCCGCCAGCAGCTCCTCCACCGTGACTTGGAAGCGCCCGACGGCGAAGACCCTGCTGCTGCCCACCGCGGGCCCGGCTCCCACCACGCCGCCCGCCGCCAGGGTCCCTCCTCCTCCTTGGCCTCCTCCGCCTCCTCCTCCTCCGCTGCTATTACTCCCTCCGCTCCCCTCAGACTTGGGCATGCGGGAAAACTTCTTCATGGCGGGCGGGCGAGAAGTGCCTCAGCCTCCGAAGGGAGCCGTTGCTTCTACTGCTGCTGCTGCTTCTCCTTCCCCGCGTCGCCTCCTCCTCCCGCCAGAGAGGGCCCAAAGCCAAGCCCGCCTTCGACGCCGCCTCACTCGCTTCACATTCCGCCTGACTGGAGTGAGGGGAAAAGCTGCTGCTGCCGCCGCGACGAACGAGCCGCAGCCGCCTCAGCGCGCATGCGCCGCCGCTTTGCGCCACTCCCTCGCTTTTCCCCCTCCTCCCCTCCCCTCCCCTCCCCTCCCAACGACGTCACGTGGATAGGGGCGTGGTCTTTGGACTTTCAAACCACGCCCCCCCTCTCCGGGTTCCGGAACGAGGGTGGACGAGCGCGCGCGTCCTCCTTCGTCCCGTTTTCCCTCCCCTCGCCTCATCGCGCATGCGCAACATCTGACACACACACACACATACACGCGCGCGCGGAAGGGGGGGCGGGGCAATGTTGGGCTTGGAAAGAAAGGCACAGAAGCCGGGAAAGCGAAAAGCGAAGGGTCCCTCTGCGCATGCGCTCTGCTCAATCTCTAAAGTAGTATTTATAATATCCAGTCATGCTGGCCACATGACCTTGGAGGTGTCTATGGACAACGCTGGCCCTTCGGCTTAGAAATGGAGATGAGTACAACCCCCCAGAGTCAGACACGACTGGACTTAATGTCAGGGGAGAACCTTTACCTATTTATATATTATAAATTATTATATATTATATTATATTGTACTATATTATATATTATATTATATTGTACTATATTATATATGGTTCCGGTTCCGGTGATGGCGGCTAGCAGCGGCAACGCGGAGCTGCGCAAGTCGAGGGCACAGAACTGAATGAAATCTTAGGAATCCCCCCCCCGACCATCAGTTTTGGGGAAGGGTGACCGACACCTAAAGTGAGGCGAGAGAGCCCGAAAAAAAAAAAGAGCCGTGAAGCGGAGGTAGGAGCGGAGAAAGGGAGCGCCGCCATTACAACCAAGGCTGGCTCTCCCTAAGAAGAAACCTACCGCCGCCGCTAACCTTGGGCTGGTGGATTGCTGGCGTTTGGGGTCGCCCGAGGCTGGGTTCCGCCGCTGCCGTCGCCTGGGCTTGGTGCTGCCGTTGGCTGACTGATTGGTGGGCTCGGCGTGGGCTCCTTCCCTTCGCGGTCGCCATTTTACCTGCTGCCGAGGCTGCCGAGGCTGCCGAGGCTTTGGCGAGCCGAGGGAGGACGCCGCGAAGGAGACGCTGTGGCTGCCTTCCACTCCCGGTGAGGAGAGAATACGCTACAGGAGGCTCACCATCCGGCCATCCGGCCGGCCTGCTGCCGAGGCTACGGCCATCCGGCCTCCGGCTGCAGAGGAGGCTCGTCATCCGGCCTCAGCCATCCGGCCTGCTGCCGAGGCTGCGGAGGCGCG